CTACTTCTCTAGAAGAACAGTTCACTTCACTAAGAGCTGAGTCTCACCTTTGCACAGTAGTAGAGAATTTTACAAACAAGAGCTTGATTACAGCTACCACAGCCTTAAAGCACGGCCACAGACTCTCCTCATTCCCGAGAAGTAAAGAAAAGCTCAGGGCAAGAATCTTGGCCAAGGCTACATCATCAGGGTGGGGGACTGTGGAAGGCAATGTCTATCTGACTAGGGGGTTTACATGTTCTCTACAATATGAGGGTGCACAGCATCAGGCAGAGGCAAACAGATATCCCTGAGCATGGTGTGATGACAGCCATTCATGTTTATGCTGCTGAGGGAGCCTGAAAAAGCATTCATGAATCCTAGTATTGGGGCCGGGCCTCAGAGACTGGATGAGTTCTATGGCTCACGGGGGTTTGGTATTTCAATCAGAACATACTCTCACTAGGGTGAATAGAGTCCAGGAAGTGAGCTGTGAGGGGCAAACTTGGACTGGGATTTGAAACATAAATGAGAGAAAATGGATGAGATACACAAAATTATGGGAGGAAGGGGGGAGGGGAGGGGGAAGAGAGAGGAAGGGGGTCTAGATTGTAAAGCGTCTCATTGCCAGGAAAATTAGAAATTTACAGTAATGGACAGCACCACATTACTGAGGGCCTTCGTACTAGCAAACTTAGTCTGGCAGCACCGAGAGGCCCACGTGTCTGTGAGCATTTGTGACAAGATGTAGTAGGAACCTGTGGAAGCAGCTCTGTCAGCTCAGGGTGGCTGGAGTGCTGGAGGGAGAGAGCAGAGTTACTGATGTGAGTGAGAACTTCCAGCCCTGCCTACTGAAGGCAGAGTTGCATGCGTGTGTGTGGCTACCACATGCCAGCCAGGGTCTGGAGCTGAGCAGAGGAAGGCAGAGAAGACACGGGACACTGGGTTTGGGCTGGGTCCATGTGGCTGCCAGGAGGCTGCCGGCTTCAGTCTAGTAAACATGGAATAGAAAAAGGAAGTCTGGAAGTATGGTGCTGGTGATGTACACTCAGCAAAGTGGGGTTAAATGGGCATGGGAGAAAAGTGTGGTGAGACTGTAGGGGATGGGGGTGGGGGATGGGGGTGGGGAGTGGGGATGGGGATGGGGGGATGGGCATGGGGATGGGGATGGGGGATGGGCATGGGGATGGGGATGGGGGATGGGCATGGGGATGGGGAATGGGCATGGGGGATGGGCGATGGGGGATGAGGGGGTGGGGGATGGGGATGGTAGATGGGGATGGGGATGGGGGATAGGGATGGGGGATGAGAGTGTGAGGGATGGGGGATGGGGATGGGGGGTTGGGATGGCGATGGGGGTGGGGGATAGGGATGGGGGATGAGGATGGGGGATGGGGGTGAGGGTGTGAGGTATGGGGGATGGGGATGGGGGATTGGGATGGGGGTGGGGGATAGGGATGGGGGATAGGGATGGGGGATGAGGATGGGGGATGAGGGTGTGAGGGATGGGGGATAGGGATGGGGGATGAGGATGGGGGATGGGGATGGGGGATGAGGGTGTGAGGGATGGGGGATGGGGATGGGGGATGGGGATGGCGATGGCGGTGGGGGATAGGGATGGGGGATGGGGGATGAGGGGTGAGGGAATGGTGGTCCATGCAAAATCAAAGCCTCTTTTCCAAAGAGCTAGTATAAAGGAATGGGACATCACTGAGAGCCAAAGACACAGAAAGAGGCCTGTCCTCTGGGAGGCGATATGCATGGGATCTAGTTCTCTCCCAGGACAGAAGACAGCATTCCTTCAGGTGTCCAGACGCGTTTCTTCTCCACACTCCTGCGCGACTGCATGGCGTCTCTGGTTGTGTCACCCAGCCTCACTTTCCTCATGCAGTCTACACGTGGACAGTGCGTTCTTGTTTGGCCTCAATTCCTTCCGGCAAATCTGAGCTCTGCACTGGGCAGCCAGCCCTGTAAACCACCCAAGCTGCCAGCCAAAGTCGAAGGGCAAGGGACTTCTACTCATGTTATTGGTCTTCTTTGCTCTGACTGTCGGTCACAAATTATATACACGTGTGTGTGTGTGTGTGTGTGTGTGTGTGTGCATACATATATGTATACATGAATATGAGAAAGGAGGGAGAGAGGAAGAGAGAGAGAGGGAGGGAGAGAGAGAGGGAAGAAGAAGAGAGGCAATATTGCCAGCTGTAAAGACAGAAAATGCAGCTCTGGTGCAGCTGCTTCTCTTCATGCCGGTGGCAGAAGGAAGCTCTCTTCCTAATGGTTTGTCAACGATCAACGATCATGCCACCTTCATAAACAGAAGACTCGGGGAGTCTGCCATAATGCACGGGACCTGATGCACCACCACCTTAGCTCACAGGCACGGGATTTTTGGCACCGCGACACCGCTCAGGAGAATATCCTCCACCTGGATCTGCCCAGAGCCACCCAGAGAGGGACTCCCACTATGTTCTTGGGGTCAACCATGCATGTCTTTGCACGGCTTGGCTTGTCTACTCCTTTTCTGGAATTGCTTCTGTCTGGGCCACCCTCCAGGTGGAACACCAAAGGGCTGCTCAGGAAACCACCACACAATGCTGTGAATCCAGCGGCCAGAAGGGGCACGGAGGACACAGGCCGGCATCCATCTGCCCTGCTGGCCTCAGCGGCAACGGCACAGCCCGCCGTGCTGGAGCCAGCAGTGCAGAGCGTGCACACGCATCCCTTGCACCCTTGTTCTCTCTCCAGACTCTTCGCGGCGTGCATCCTGCTTACACGCCGCTTGTGCCACATCTGACATGGCAGCTGTCCTTCAGTCTCCAGATCTCACTGTAGTCTGTGGGCTGGGGGTTGCTTGCCACTGTCTGCAGAGAAGAGACCCGACTCTCAAGGCTAGTACTCCCCAAGTTAAATCCGGGGTGTTCGTACCCCACCCCACCATACTCAGCCACTTGGCATCGCCCATGCACCCAGCCATCTGTCACCTCCATTCCCAACCATCAGGGTTTCAAAGCTCCACGGTTAAGAGCATTCGCTGGTCTTACAGAGGACCTGGGTCTGGCTCCCAGCACCTCCACAGTGGCTCACAACTGTCCACAACTCTGGCCTCATACACACATACAAGCTAAACAGTCAGACACACAAATAAGAACAGGCCCATGTTTTAAAAAGGTTTTGAGGTTCTATCACCTACCTTTCTTGACAATGCCTTGCACCCACTAACACTGCACCACAGGCTGTCACAATCTGGTCTTCCTTACTTGTCATCGGGCTGTGGTAATAACTAGTTAGTTACTCTGTCTCCAGGACAACCCCCTGATGAAGGAAGGACTCTTAAGAACTACCGCGATGCTCTAGAACAATAACTAGACCCGGTGCTTTTCCACGCACGGTGAGACGCTCAGGCTCACACCAACAACGCCGTGGCCCCCTGCTACCGTGTGTTAGGAAAGCCCCGTAGGCACAGGCTTTAGCGCTTGGCCCCCAGGTGGCGGTGCTTTTGGGGGTCTGAGAACTTGGGGAAGTAGGCTTAGCTGGAGGAGGCCAGCTCCTAGTGCAGCAGGTCTTGAGGTACGGTACCTAGCTCATGTCCGTTTCCTGACCAGTCAACACGTGGACAAGCAGCCTGATGCTCCCCCTGCAGAGTGGAGAGCTGCTCGATATCACCACCATCTCTGCCCTGCCATGGTGGCCCAGAGCTTCAAACCAGAGCCCAGACAGACCTTTCACCCCTTCAGCCCCAGTGTTTGGCCCCAGGCTGTGCCGACGCTGCTTCCACACCACCTCTGGTCCTGGCTGTTCCGCTTCTATCCACTCAGCAACTGATTAATCCCCTCTGTCCTTGGTCATCATCTCTGCGCCCTATGCCTAAGGCACACGCAGGCTGTTACTGCTGCCCACTGTGTCCTTCGGAAGTGTCTATCCTCTTATTACCTTTAGTAACCCAGAAATGTCTGCCACTGCCCTTGATACACAGTTGCTTGTGCGTGCACGCTTGCGTGTGTGTGTGTGTGTCTGTCTGTCTGTCTGAGCACAGATCATGAATGCTCAAACAGGTCATGGCTAACGGACATTCTCCCGCAGACCATGTGTACTATTTCACATTCTTCCCAGGCCCACGTCCAGCTAGAGGAACGATGAAACATCTTGGAAGAGCCACCGAGGGGAAGGCGGCAAATGAGAAAAGCCAGGGCAGGCAGAGGACAGGCTTTGCTGAAGCCCCGTTTAAGTTAGACGCCACGCCCCTGTGGTGGAGGCCAAAGCAAGGAGAATGGAGGGTGAGTGTGAGTCTGGGGTTCAGGGTAGGGGCCATGGTGGCAAGGGAAGCCAGGGAGGGCTGATGGGTAGAGAGAAAAGGGAAGGGTTTCAGAGAGGGTGATCACGAAGGGGAAGCTGGTTCAGCCTGAGAGGGGAGGATGGGACAGAAGAAAAGGGCGCGTGTGCACACGTGCAGAACATGCGGTGTGTGTGTATGCAGCCTGCTGCGCGTTGTGTGTAGTGTGGGTGTGTGGGGTATGTTCTATAGCGGTTGCATGGTCTGTCATATGCATGTGTGTGTATATGTGCGTAGCTGTAACCGTGGGACAATGCCCGGTTCTGAATCTAAAATGGTGATGCCAATGAGTGGAACCTTTGGATTTGCAATCCAGCAAAATAAAAGTCACTCTGTAATACCACTCAATATGCTGTTGTGATTAAAAGCCCATTTGCCAGTTGGTGGAACCTCCTGGCATCTGGCAGCATACGCTACAGTCAGAGGACCATACAAATTGCAGAAACAACGGCAGAAGAGTTTGGGGGTGATTCCTGCATCTATTTACGGAAGCAGAGGATGTCAGTCTCGTGTGGCATTATGTAACCTGAATTTTGTCCAGCCTTCACGTTAAAATAATTTTTCCTAAAGCACGAAAAAGGGAAATCATCCTCATCTCTCCTCCCTGCCAGGCAGTTTGCCCATCCGTTATCCTGGGGGCAATTTACCCATCTCTCTTGGTAACCCAGGGGCGAAGGGGGGCTCCTACCGCAGATGAAGCACGTTGTCTTGAGAATTTCTTCTTTCTTCTGCTTCTCGCTTCTGAGGTCGGCAAAGGTGTCAATGATGACCCCAAAAATCAGGTTCAGGACGATGATGATGACGATGAAGAAGAAAAGGAGGTCATATACCACGCGGGCGGCAAACAAGGGCTCCTGCAACGGGAGAGCACAAAGCACACATGGGAAACGCACTTACTTCGTGGCTGTCATGCTCACACCGTCGGCATGATGCGGACACCCAACAGGTGTCCTCTGAGTGGACACAGCCCCGGTTAGGGAAGTGAACCTCTCTGTGCCCTTACCCTCCCTCCAGCTGAGGGAGTGCAGGACGCCTGCTCTCAGAATCCTTCCATTTCTCTGGGGCTGATACTTCTCCCCAAGGAAAACACTTGGTGCCTTGGTGCTTTACTAGTGATGGACACAAAACATCTGCACGGGCTCACGTCATCTGGACACTTGGTCTTCATCACGAGGGGCTGGGGGGAAGAGGGGGCTTGAGGCCTTATAGACCAGACCTCTGCTTCCTGAGGGTGGGAGCCACGTGGCCAGCTGGCTTCCCGACCCTTCTGCCACCCCGGCTCTAACAGAAGTTGCATCTTTCCTAGGACAATGGAATAATCCCACAGAACCGTGAACCAAACCAGTCCTTGCTTTCTTAGTTTTGTGACAGCAGTGAGAAAAACAATCCAATTGTGCAGCTCTCTCTCTCTCTCCCAGGCTCCAAGCAGAGGGTTGTCAAACACAGCCCCAAGGCTGGCCGAGAGAGACCTGGACATTTCTCAACTTCTGCAGTAGGTTCTGTGCTAGTCCCGACGAGGTCAAGTGTACACAGCTCACGTATACATATCCTGTCCGGCCTGCAGTGTTAAAACCCACACCAGAGACCATGGGGTCCCGCTGTTTATATGCAAGCTGAGCTTATTAGCAAGATGACTGGACATTTTCTAACAGGCCAGCCGCAGAAGAGGACTGCATGCTTCTTGCCTGGTGACCCAACGTTCACAGTTACTGAGAAATGTTCTCGCTTTGCTGCCTTAATGCGTGAAATTCCGTTAGAGCTCATCCCCACTTTGCATTCGTCCTGAGCAAAAGCAGAGTGAATCCTTGCACCTGGGGGCTCTGTAGAGCCAGGCAGCCGAGCTGCTGTGCTCTGTTTAACAATGAGCTGCTATGGAGTCTGTGGTCATGACTTTGCTGCTGTGATACAATGTGCAGCGCAGACTCGAGCCATGGGCTTTTAGTTCACCTCCATCTCGTGCGACTCCACTGTGCAATTAACTGCTCTTACAGCCACCGGTGTACTCTTGAAAAGCAAATGATACCGGAGCCCTGACAATCAAAACCGTACCATAAATACTGGCAAGGGAGGCGGCAAGAAAGAAACCAGGCCTGTGTGCTGCGGGTCTGTCACAGAGAGGCCTACTCAGGGAGATAAAGGCAAAAGAACAGCAACTTTAGGGCCAGCCTGGGCTACAGAGTGAGTTCAGGGCCAGCCTGGGTAATGTAGTGAAACTTCTAATCTCAAGGTTTAAAAAGTAAGAAGAGGGCTGGAGATAAGTCACGTTGTTAGGTTTGATCCCCCATTGAGGGAGGGAGGGGGAGGAGAGAGGGAGGGAGGACTTGGAGGGAGGGGCAGAGGCAGGGAAGGAAATAACCATGTGCTTCTTAAACCAAACGGTCTCCTTCCCACTCACATCTTTCGATGGTCGTCTCAGCACATCCCCAACGCCACCGCCATTCCTGAGGCCCTGGTTCAGCACCGTGACGATGCACATGAGCAGGGTATCACATGTCCTTTCAATTCCATCCTCACTCCCCTCATCGGCTGCAGAAACACAAAGAGTTTTGAAAACACACTGTCACCTACACCCAAGAGTCTGCTTCTACAGTGCCAAGCACAACTTTCTCAAGTCACGTGACCTCTGCTTCACATGTGATCACGCGTGACTGACACGTGCAGAGAGCTAGCTACACATATAATAGCTGGAGATTTTGCGTCGCTTGGCTTGGTGGAAAATGACAGGGCATGAAAGGTAAAGCCTGGCAAGGTTAAGACGCATGCACCTGACTGTAGTGGACACTGTGGTCAACGCAGCTCTGCACCACCCAAGCTGGCCCACTCAGGCCAAGGATGCGATCAGGACTGGAGCACGTCACTGACCTCAGCAGCCTCACACACAACAGGGAGAATGCTGTGGGTTGGAGGGGCGTCCAAGGACCACGCAAGGCATGTTAGAGCTGCCCACAGTAGGAGCTTTCCACTAGCCACAGTTCAGTCATTATTTGGAGTAAGTCTGAGAGCTTTTTTTTTTTTTTGAGGGAAACCCAGGGGCTAGAGATGAAATCCTGCTTCGGAATGAAAAGAGAGTACACGATCCAATGTGTCAGAAAAGTCCGGAGACTTGACCCCATGCTGAAAGATCCAGACAGAAAACATAAAACCATTTAAAGCAAGGGTTGTTGCTCAGCTGAGCATGAGAACCAGGATTCTGTCACATTAGTAAATGAGCAGAAAGGCAAAGGCTCTGTTTTGTTACTAAGTTAACTGCCCTTGGGGGCCTGGGGCTGCAGTCTGCACGTCAAGGCAAGAATGTAAAAGCGGCCACAGGCTGTGGGAAAGGCAAGCATCTCATCTCACTGCAGGGTCCAGGGTCATGGGTCTCCTGTCAGGAGAAGGCTGTTTTCTCTCTCCTGAACAGATTTTATTTTATATTCTAAGGAAGGAGACACTGATATTTTTACATGCGTCCAGGTTGCTCCTTTGAAAGCACGCCGGAATACGGCTGGCAGGAAGGCTGCGTGCAGAGACAGACAGGCAGACTGTGTGTAGTCCCTCCCCTTAGAGCGGAACCAGGTTTCTGATGTGGAAATTTGGTGAGGAAGGAGCAAGAGGGACTGGGGCGGCTTCGTGGCGGTGGCAGATGAAGGAAAGAAGGAAAGAAGGAACGAGATTGCTGCAGAGGGTTTCTGGGTTCCAGGGAGGAGGTCACAGTAGCACAGCTACCGCTCATTTGCAAAAGACCGACTTTCAATCAGAGCAAATGAGTAACGAGTCTCGTGGGGCGCTAGAGACGCTCATTTACAAACGGTATCCGTCCGGCTGTAGCATAGCAGATGCCAGGAAGACCACTCTGCCAATTTGGTGGGCACGTGGGAGTAACAGGAAATGAGGCTGTTTCAGGAGTTAGGGAAATGCATACGAAACGCATACACCACACCATGTGATCAGCCGTCGGGAAATAAAAGCATATAGAAGAGCTCACCACCATGACCAGCCACAAGAGTAACACAAATCACAACTACACTGACGTCCCTTCCCTTCTCGCCCCATATCAGATGGCTACCATCAAAATTCAAAAACAAAACAAAAAAATCCAACAACTGTTAGTGAGAGCACAAGTGTGTGTATGTGTGCATGTGCGTGTGCGTGTGTGTGTGCGTGTGTGTGCGCGTGCGTGCGTGCGTGTGTGTGTGTGTGTGTGTGTGTGTGTGTGTGTGTAGGAATATGACGCTTACACACAGCTGGAGGGCATGTGGGAATGTAAGCCAGTGCATGAAAATAAGCATGGAAGTCCCTCAAACAATTAGAACTTGAGCCAGTACACGATCCAACCATCCCGTTTCTGGTTCAGATTCCAAAGAGTCAAAGGCAGCGGCCCATTGCAGAGAACCCGGCATGCTCCTGTCTACTGAGGCACTGACTGTCAGAAACACCCTGCCTGCGTATCCATCACAGATGAAGGGCCCCACAGAGAAGGAACACGTGCTTTGTATACTTAACCGTTTCGTTCATTCATAAACAAGAACAAAGTTACGATATTTGTAGGAAAGTGGATGGAGCCAGACTCAGGAAGAACGGAACCGTGTGTTTTCTCTCACACGCATAACTTAGAAGGCCTCCATGAAAGTTCAAAGGGTGGAATACTATCAGGGCTGTGGAAGGGAGGGGAGGGGGAGGGGCCAAGGAAGGGCGATGGGGATTGAATATGCTCCAAGTTCGTTCAGTGTCCTAATGAAGTCCACGGCAGTGTGATTGACAAGAGCTAAGCAAAGAGGCGTGACAGCGCAGGGCTACTTAAGTTTTTGGAATATAACATTTTGGGTAGAAGGAGGAAGCCCGAGTTTCGTCAGCCCAGCACTGGCCCAGTCACTTTGCTCAATACTAGCTACACAGGCATGCTGGGGTCACACAGCAGCCTCTAGGAGCTTTATTAGAAGGGTCTTTGTGTGACATGAGTCTACTCTCAACAAGTCAAAGGCCTCCCGCAGGTGAGTGCCACCTTGTGGTCACTTGTGAGACGCGCTTATCTTTATACAACACAGGCTAGTGTGAGGGGAAGAGACACAGGAAAAGGGCCACAGCCTAGGGAACCTTATGGGCCCCAAGACAACCGCCAGCAGATGAGCAAACAGGAAGCAGCTGAGTTGTCCTGAAGGAAGTGGCCTCTGCATAAGTATCAGATGAAAGACCTGGCCAGCACAGTCAGGTCTAAGACATTCCCTCAGATACAATAGGAACATAGTTAGGGCTCAGTGGATACAAGTTATCAATTACCCACACACGGTAGCTGTTACATCTTATGAAAAGCTGTTTTAATACAAGTAACAAATCTGACACTTGAGTGATCTGAGTTTATCTATCCATCTTCAGCTGACCACCAGAAAAACCTTTTTCTTAATACATGATGATAAATAGTTTTATTTGAGGAAAGGAATTAAAAAAACAAACCTATCCCCCAGGCTCTGAAGCCATTCTTTCATGCAGAGTGTTAGTCTATATATTTTAGAAACATTAGACACTGGCTGGAGATAGTCAGTGGTTAGAAGAACTTGCGGGTCTTCCAGAGGACCAGAGTTTAGATCCTAGCACCCATGTGGGGTGGCTTACAACACCTATAACTCTAGCCCCGGGGGGGGGGGAGAATCCAATGTCCTTACCTGGCTTGGCATATACTCACACAAACACACAATGCTTGAACATAAATATTTATTGATGCCTCTTTCTTGTTGTGCTTTAGTAATTAAATTATTTGTTGTTTGTGGACACAGCAGCCTGGAGCTGTGACACATTTGAAAGTCTGATGGTAACTCAAACCCTCTCGTCTAAACTTAATTGACAATCCATCTATTATAGAGATGCTGATCTTAATTTCTTTTTTAACCTAGGAAAATGTTTTAAAACACTGATATCCAATGGTAATCCAAAACATAGCATGTGTTATCTCACTAAATTCTGCTATTTACCAACCTTTTCTATTAAAGTAGGATACCAGGAGATTAAAATTGGTCTCTTAAATGCTAAACACATGTGAACTTTTTATTCTCCTGAATGTGCAAATGGCACTGACTCACAAAATACCCGTGATTAGACTTAGTATTGTCTTAACAAGGCTTGGCTTTTCTGGAAAAGTCAGTTTTGGGGGAGGAAGGATATAGATATTTTCACCTGAGGTTCTAGAAGGTTTGAAGCAAATGAAATACAAAGGTTTTGGAGTGTTTTTCAAGTCAAATTAGTTGCCAGTTGTCATGTGAATCCCCTGCTTCTGGGAAAATGCCCAGACCTGAATCTGCAGGAGCCTTCCCAGGGCCAACACAGTGCCCACCAGCAATGCCCTGCCTCTTACACAGGTGCTGCCTGCCTGAGCCTTCTGTGGTGTGCACCTGCTGGTCCCACGAGAGCAGCCAAGGCCCTCAAAAATGCACACCACAGCTCACGAGTTAGAACTGCACCCCAGCCCTAGACAGGGGAAAGCTATTTTTAGTCTAAGTGACTGGTGTTGCGCAACAAACACCAGACTTCAGCTTTCTCTCTACTTACATGGCTAAACACACAGCCATAATTTAAAGAACTCCAGAAGATCAAACTCATAGGTTTGTCAATCAAACTGCAGCTAAAGTTAGAGAAAATAAGGCCCTGAAAATAAAATCTATGCATTTTAATTACTGAACTTACTCATATCGGCAAAATTAATAGGCCAAATCCACCGGGGGCATTGGTGGCCCATGCCTTTAATCCCAGCACTCAGGAGCCAGAAGCAGGTGGATTTCAGTGAGTTCAAGGCCAGTTTGATCTACGTCCCTTATTGGCAGTCAAGTAGTCAGAAGCAGATCCCTTAGTGTGGGCTGCTGTTTGGGAGCAGCACATTCCACAGGATGAATCTGCCAGGTTTGGGTAAAGCAGAAACACCCTGAGAGCCAAGATATCTCAGGGTAGCAAACACAGAATCCTTTCTCTAGCTTGAGTTATTTTGGTCCCTTGCTCTCTGTTTTCTATTTCAACACATTATAAAGTGCCAAGATCAACTCTCATGAACATAAAAACATACCCAATTGCATGCTAGAGGGGCTAGTAGAGATCTGGGCTGTGAGTACACACCTGTGTCGGAAGAGGGGATTGTGGGTGAGCAGTTCTCCCTCTGACAGGCCCCCGTCATGGAAGGTAAGGTCATGGTAGGAACCCCGTGGTTACCTGGGAGAACACAGAGCAGATAACTGTAGAGGGGTACACACATACATGACAAATGGACACAACCACAGAGGTGTCTGACTTTAAATATATATGTGATCCTAAAGCCTTTTGGTAGGTTAGCCTGGAGGTAGTGGGTGGGGAGGAGGGAGGGGGAAATGTGGTCCAGAATATAAAATAAATTAATTAGTTAGAAAAGAACTATCTGTTAAAGGCAAGAAGGAATACTGCATATGTTTCCACTAATTATATTTTAGCTTTAAAGTCAGTGGTTTGAGGAGAAAGCAAGCATGTCTTTTTAGGATTTCCTGTCTCTATAAACAGTAGTTACTGGAACCTAGAAAACAGTACAATAGAGAACTGTGCTTTCTATAGAGTAAAGCCGGGTTGGGGGAAGGTTAACTACGGAATCCAACCCAGCAACAAAGTGTGTGAGAGAGAGGTAGGAACGCAAAAGAAAGTGACGAAGTCCAAAGTGCCAGGGAGGCTAACTCCTCATGCGGGGTCCTCTCAGTGAGAACGCCAGGTGATGTCTAAGTGGCCCAGTGGCAAACATCACACAGGGACCCCAGCAGTCACATGACAAGGAGTGGGTCCTTTAGCCCCAGCCTCTGAGCACGTCTTCCAAAACACTCTTCTTACTACCTGACGCTTTCCAGTTCCCACTTATCATTTTACATCATCTGGATATAAAGTGATGCGTGTAGGGGGAAAAAAAAAAAAACGGCGGAGTGGTGGCTCTTAGGTGCCGGATGCTGTTCTTTGGGGAAATGGGAAGAAGAGGGAACAAAGGATCTTGGAATTGCCACAATGAAGCTGCGGCTGCCTCCTGCAGTGTGGTCAGCATTAGGAAACCCTGTAGGACGGAGTGCAGATGATGTCTCTTGTGTATTTCCCAACACACACTGGCAGCATACAGGCTACAGTGTTTCAAACTCTCAACTCTTAGAAGTTGTCTTGCTACTTTAATCCTTGCCAGGATCAAACACCTAACAACCAGCAACTTGAGGAAGGAAGGGATGAACAGTTTGTTTTGGCTAACGGTTCAAAGAGATACAGCCCGACATGGCGGCAGCCAAGGCGGCTGGTCACACTGTTAGCGGTCAGGAGGCAGAGGCCACATTGGAAGTGAGGCCAGACTGTCCAAGCTAAGGCCCACCACTTCCTCCAGAGAGGCTCCACCAGCTCAAACAGTGCCAACACACAGGGACCAGATGTTTCACCCTCGAACCGCAGCGGTGGTAAACAAGACCGCATCTCAAAAGCATGAGAGTAAAACTTTTACCTATGGCTGTGTGTCTGAAATCCCCCAAGCAAGGTGTGAACCACAAGCCTGGACTGCCGGAAGGAGCTCGGAGGTGGCTACCTGGGACTGGTGTCCTGATTTTCAGTCTGTCCACTTCCATGGTGAAGTCGTCCTTCAGGAAAAGGAAGCCGATGATGGAGAACAGGTAGACCAGGATGAGAGCCAGCACAGCGGTCAGGATGATGGAGCGGCCATTGCGGGTGACGCTTTTGATGACGTTCAGCAGGGTCTCTTCTCTGTACACCAAATCAAAGAGCTACAGAAATAACAGTTACAAAGTAGCCTTCGAACAAATAACATTTTTAAGTGAAGCAAACCCTTAAACTAGAACACAAGGAAACAAGGTTTCAGTACTGCGTCAAAGAGTACATCATCTGTGTAGAGCACTTGCCAAGACACTGTCATTTGGACTTGGAAATTTTATAATATCAGGCACACGTAGCTTATGGACAATTGAAAAATTAATTAAATTTATTGTTCAATCGAGGAACTCAGAACGAAATGCAGAAGACAATTTTTATGAGCCTGGTGCCATTAAAAAATGTCTGAATCTAAAGTATTTTGGAAATGCAGACACTCTTCCTTAGTAAAGTTATACATAAATTAGGATGAAAGTCTGTGTCAGCTCATCCTTTTGCAAGCAGAGCCACAAACAAACAAACAGACAAGGTAACTGTTCAGTTCCTTCCTTCTAAAGGATTACTTACTGTCCTCGGTCTTTAACAGTAGGAAATCAAAACATGAGTCAAGAACCCAAGACCATGTCTGCTCCCTGCAGCTGATGCCGAGAACCAGTTCACACACTGCTACATCATAAAACTGAAATTATAAATTATCAAGTGCATGTTTTATTATACAGAGGTACTTAAAAGAAAAATAATTATATTCATTTCCAGAAATGTCCAGAAATGTTTGAAAGCAAATCCTATCTTCAAAACTTGGAGACTTGGGGCTTGTGTTCTTATCTGGGGATAAGAACTACAATCTGGTTTGCCTAGAACAATCAGTTAGGTGTGTGTGTCCTTTCAAATTCCCTGGTGTTGGTGGAGCATGCCTTTAAGCCCAGCACTAAGGAGGCAGAGGCAGGAGGATCATTGTGAGTTCTAGGCCAGTCTGGTCTACAGAGCAAATTCCAGGACAGGCTCCAAAGCTACAGAGAAACCCTGTCTCAAATAAATAAATATAAATAAATAAATAAATAAATAAATAAATAAAATTCCCTGGTCTGCTGTGTGCAGAGAGTTACACATTAATTTCTACTGTAATCACTCCTTGCCAATCACTGCTATGCAGAGCCTGTCTTTAAGAAACTAGCATTTGATGAGTCAATTTCTTAAAAAAAAAAAAAAAAAAAAAAATCACTACCTTGCTTTTTATCTCTTGGGAATTACAGCTATTGTTAGAAACAAGGTCAATATTCTTCAATAAAGATGAATTAATTAATGCAAACAACCCCCAGATTGTCAATGATCTGGCTTCTTCAACTTTTTAACCACTTAGGTTGACATAAAGGAGATTTTATTTTAACTCAACAGAGGACAGAGTAGATGGCATTCATAGTGATGAAATGAGAAACTCTGCCTCAAACCAGGTGGCGGGCGAGGGGTGCCACCCAAGCAGGTCCTCGGAACACTGTGGGTGGCACGCAAATGTCCACACTCAAAAATCACTCGTAGATTTAAACTTAGCATATTTTTACACCTACTCTTTTCCCCATCCATGGCTACAGGGCAGTGTAAACGGAGAAAGGAAAACGGCTGGCATTTAAGAATGAGAGGGCATCTTTAGGAAGGCTGCATGGTTGGGCGGAGTGACACACAGGCACCTCCCCAGCTCAGAGGCTGAGGGGGAAGACTGTGAGTTAGAGGCCAGCCTGGGCTACACAGAGAAGCAAGTCATCTCAGAACAAAAAAAAGGAATCTGAAAAGAACCGTGTAAAGGTTTAAATATACATTTAAATATAAATAGCTAAGCTTAGCCACATAAGCTAATGATGGTGATATAAGCTAACGATGGTGTTGTAAGTTAAAGATGACGTCATAAGCTAAATCATAACTAACGGCGATGGCGATTGCATGAGCTGAAAGGCTACACTTTAAACAGCTTGCTCTTTTACTAGGGTGGCTTTTGTGCCTTCTCGTTTTTGCTTACATGGGACTGTAATGACCAATGTAACATTTGACACTATAAATACAATATACTTCCTTATGTGTCCCTTTGCAGCTGGATTAACGGTGGATTAAGGAAATGTCCCTGGGCTGAAAACCCAAAGAAGCTGGCCATGCGAACCCTGGGCCAAGAGAAGAGGCAAGGGAGTTGCTTACTTCTCAGCAAGGAATAGAACTCCATTGCCTATGTACTTCCCAAAGAAAAGAACCACACTTCTCCTAGGAAATTCCAAAAATAGCATAACGTGTGCCTTGCTAAAAGAGAAGAAAAGTAAAATGAAAGAAACAGCAATACACCAAACCAAAAGAAACCAACTGGAAGTCTAGGGCGCAAGACGCCCCATCGCGTGCCTAGCAGCAATTGGCCCTCTGGCTGTACTCACCAGAAAGCTGTAGAAGAACTCGTGGACAAAGAGGCCGAGCATGCAAACCAGGACATATGCCACATGGTAGAGAAAGGCCATGTCCAGGATGACCGCTCGGTAACCGCGGGTGAATGTGCCTCGATTCCCCACAAAACTCACCAGGAACACGATTTTGTTACATAGCTAGAGAGAGAGGAAAGAGTGGGATTTTAGAGCTTCAAGGTTATCTGCAGATCAAGGCACCGGAAGATATCAATTCCTAAGCCTGTGGTTTCCCTTCTCAGCTCCTCCTGGGGTGTTTTTCAGGCAGTCTGCAAATCACACGTAAACAACACAGAAACGGCTCCCTTCATAGCTACAGGGGCAGAGAATGATAGACCCTAGCTCTGTTGCCAACCCAGATGAGTGTAAATCTGGCCGTTCCTTATTCCTGGACGACCTAGTTCTTCCCATGGGAAGCCTTGATGGTTTCGGAAAACCTCCCACCTCACCGACCCCTTAGAAGACCAGATGGCATAACATGGTCAGAGCAATTATTACAAGGACTCTTCAAATGTTCCTTAGATGCTGACAACTCTCTATATTTATATCTATGCCTTTAGGAAAATAGGATGCTCTTTGCAACGCTGATCATGTATATTATACATACACATATGTTACATACATATACACACATATACATGTTATCAAACTTAAGAGAATATGAACTCTTTTCCATCAACATCCTGGTCTGAATCGATACAGATAAAATTAAAAAACTGGTAATTATTTCATATTATAAAGGTCCAATCAGACCAACAACACAGCCACTAAGGACAGAATCTTTCCTCCTGTCCATCTTCTCAATAATCAGTAGCTGTCTATCTTCTCAATAATCAGTAATACGCTCAATAGTCAATAATCTCGGGCCCCTTTCGCCCCCTTGAACTTCAGCAGCCGTCAAGCAGGAGTCCTATTTCCCTGATCGGCAGCTTATGCTCTCACTCAGTATGATGGAGGCTTCGGAGTGACTGTTTAAGAGCAGGTGTGAAAGGAAACTGCTCAAAACCCGAGCAGTGAATAAACAACAAAGGTCCTGTGTCTGGCCACAAGCTCCATACAGAACAAGGGTGAGAAACCCTGTTCAAAACAACTTACCAACTTACCTGGACTTGCCTACCCAGGTTCGCCAGTGTGACAGAGAGGGATTATACAAACATGGAATTAAAAAAACCCTCACAAGGGCAAATTGTATGACACTGACATAGGCTTTGTGTGTCATTTCCTGATTTTCTAGGATGAGTTATAAAACCATGCGGGGAAGCTATTTATGAAGCAGACACATTGGGGAGCAACAGTCTGAACTGGATTCTCCAAACGATCAATAAATTTTAGTACACAGTGTAGAAGACAAGACACATTTCTGCCTGAGCAGGGACTTGGTCATGCTAATGTGAAAAAAATAAAGAGATTTGCTTTGCTTGTTTACCAAGGTGGCATTGCATGACCCTTGACCTGTAGCTGGGTATGAATGCTTGTGTTCTCGGGGGCAGCGACTCTCCACCTTCCCAATGTTGCGACACTTTAATACAGCTCCCCGTGCTGCGGCGACCCCCCCCCCAACCATAAAACTACTTTCACTGCTACTTCATAGCTACAATTTTGCTACCGCTATGAACCACAGTGTAGATATCTGATATACGGAATATTGCAACCCCTGTGAAAAGGTCTGTCGATCCCCAAGGGGGCTGTGCCCCACAGGATGAGAACTGTTGCTCTGTGGACATCTGGAAGTGAGTTTGACGGGTGCAGTGGCGCCCCCATGGGTTCACAGAGTTCAGAGGTGGAAGCCGACCTTGTGTTTGCGGTGTTTATGCCAAGGACAATTGAATGCAAGAATAAAGGGCAGGAAAGGACTGAAACTCTAGTTTCTGTGGCATGAAGAGATTTGTATATCTGTGCGTGTGTGCGCGTGTGTGTGGAGCACTCTCCATGAGAGCTGGGACTGTTGGCGAGGAATAAGGAGCTGCGATCACATTCTCCCTGCTCACGTCACGACTCCATCGACCTTTAGCCAGTCCTTCTATGTGGGCCTCATGAGCATGCCGCAGCCAGTCAATTCCGTGGCAAGCATCCCCGTGGGCGGTGAGTGGTGGCATGAGAGGGCCACAGGGCCCTGCTCTGCTGAGCTGCTGGAACCAGCTTGGAAACAGCAACACAGATGCCAGCAGCGTCCCACATTTTATTTCCTCAAAATCAGCATGTAAACCAAACGGTTTACTGGGGGCTCTCCTTGTCACAGCAAGGGTGAAATTAATGTTTGCTTGCGAGTTAGTGTCTGGTGAAGGAAGAGCATCCATGGCTCCCTGGTAAGTAAGTCACACGGTAGTGTGACATCTTCATATATGCTTACAAGTGGTAGTCACGTCTTTGCAGGCCTTTCAGTGGCGCGCTAAAGTGAAAGGCAGAGGTCATGTCATCTAGGGCACTGAGTTCGTTCTTGACGCATCCTCTGTTTCTAGAGGCCTTTGCTCACGTCTATGATGCGTGCCTAGAAGGTAATGGTTACTTAGAATTCACTTTGTTATTTATTTATATGAACGTGTGCGTCACCCGTGTGTGTGCGCGGTGCCTTTAAGGTGAGCTCTTTAAGACGGTTGCAAGCTGTCTGACTTTGGTGCTGGGAACTGACCTGGGTCTTCAGAAAAAAAAAAAAACAAATAATACAAAACAAAACAAAAACCCAGCAAATGTTCTTAACACTGAGCCTTATCTCCAGCCCCAGAGTGAAGCCATTAAAGATGCCTCCTGGTTCCATAATTTTTGTGACATCTCTTTTTGCTGCTTTACATGGTCGCAGAAACTGACCACTGCTGAGTGTTGGTGCTAGTGTTATTCCTTTGGTCTTACTCAGGACTCTCTCCCTGAGCAGAACATCCAGCCCACCCTTATGCTATTACTGTGGGGAAACACGGCCTATTTTCCAAGGATAAATTGTTAAGTAGAAAAACCAAAGACTGTCTGCTGATGAATTGGAAGGCAAGACATGAGATGATTTAATTCAATAATCTCCAGGTACGTGGCTTTGCACCCTGGCAGGATAAAATCTTAAGGTCACTATGTAAATGAAAATTTACACACCGTCAAACATCACCCTGGAAATCTAAACTGTCAGCAGAACATATAACAAACACAGGCAGTGTGAACACCCTCACATGACGTTCAACACAGCCCGGAGAGACTTTGACTTTTTGTTTTGTTTTGTTTTTTTCCTTCCTGCTGTAAGGCAGAAATAGTGGTACCCAGGGACCGTATTAAGTAACACACCGTGTGTTTATCTGAAAGACAGAGATACTACAAAAGGGAAGTTTCAGATCAGAACATGTAACTGAACCTGCGTGTTTAGTGACTATATCACAGGACTTGTCCCACAGATTAGCGTGGCCTGAGACTCCACACACCGCTAAGAACACCACCCATTCAGCTGAGCCTTGCTAACAGTTAATAGCCTGGCTCAACACTAAAACTTTATTTACTTTTCCCTTGTGCAAAGTGGGGAGGACAAAGTCTACCATTTCACAGTAAAATAACGCGAGGAAGGCTAGCACCATTAAGTGAATCACAGATTCCCAGTCGTTATTAGAAGGTGTGTGTGTGTGTGTGTGTGTGTGTGTGTGTGTGTGTGTGTGTGTGTGTGTGTGTATGATCTGAATAAAAATAGCTTCCATAGGCTCACAGGGCGTGGAGAAACGGCCTTGTTGGTGTGGGTGTGGTTTTGTTGGAGGAAGTGTGTCACTATGGGGGTTTGCTTTGGGGTCTCAAATGCTCAGGCCAGGTCTAGTGTGACATTCACTCAGCTGCCTCTCCAGCACCATGCCTGCCTGCATACCGCCATGCCTCCTGCAGTAATGGTAATGGACTGAACCTCCAGACTGTGAGCCAGGCCCAATCAAATGCTGTCCTTTATAAGAGTTGCCATGGTCATGATGTCTCCTCACAGCAATAGAACTCCAAGATAATGCTGTAAATAGATGTCTTCAGAAAAGTAAAGTGCTAAAAGGTTCTATTAGTCCCCTTGTTTCTTTGTTAAGTTTCTGTCCAGTGGTCCTGTCTAGTGGTGAGAGAGGAGTGTTGAAGTCTCCCACTATAAGTGTGTGAGGTTTCATATGTGATTTGAGTAATAGTAATGTTTTATTTATTTATTTATTTATTTATTTATTTATTTATTTATTTTACAAATGTGGGTGCCTTTGTATTTGGGGCATAGATATTCAGAACTGAGACTTCATCTTGATGGATTTCTCCTGTGATGAATGAGAAATGCCTTTCTTCATTTCTTTTGATAGATTTTAGTTTAAGTCTAATTTCTTAGAGATTAGGATTGCTACACCAGCTTCTTTCTTGGGTCCATTTGACTAGAAAATTTTTTCCCAACCCTTTACTCTGAGGTAACATCTGTCTTTGAAGTTGAGGTGTGTTTCTTGTATGCAGCAGAAGGATGGAGGATTCTGTCTTTGTATCCATTCTGTTAGCCTGTTTCTTTTTATAGGTGGGTTAAGACCAATGATTGATATTGAGGGATATTAATGACCATTGATTGTTAAATCTTGTTTGTTTTTTATTTGTTGGTGGTGGTGGTATTGTGTGTAGCTATTGGTAAAGTGGAATTATCTATTGCCTATGTTTTTGTGAGTGTAGTTAACTTTGTTGGGTTGGAGTTTTCCTTCCAAAACTTTGTGTAGGGCTGGATTTGTGGATATGTATTGTTTACATCTGGTTTTGTTATGGGATATCATGTTTTCTCCATCTACAGTGACTGAAAGCTTTGGTCTTTCACTGTGGGGATTGGAGTGTGGCTCAGTGGTAGAGCACTTGCCTAGTATGTGTGAGGCTCCAGGTTCAGTTCCTAGCGTCAGAAGGAAAATCTTTACTGATAATTTACTGTGTTCTTCTTTATTACAAATAATCTGAGCTACACAGATAAATGGAGTGATTAAGGAGGAGTTAATATCCATATTAATGAATCATAAAACTCTTTAAAAACAGGAAATACCACATCTGTATAAATGAGGTTTGCAAAAATGTTCAGTGATATGAGCAAACCTTATGGTTCCAGGTTTATAGAATGTGCCTCTGTATCATTCGGAATGCTAATTTATACCAGCATTAGCTAAAGATGCCACACTGTGCATGAGAAGAAAACTGTGTAAGATGTATTTCACAGCACTCAAAATTACTGAGTTTTCTGAGACAACCATGACAGAAAAAAAATCTACCTGAAATGTAGACAAGCTTCAAACTTTACAAATGAGTTCAGTTTTAGCATAATGAACTAGAAACTGATAAATACTGAGGTATTTCTTCTATGATGTTCCCTTTCTTATAAAGGAGACTTTTCACACCTGTTTAACATTATGAAGGGCAGAGTCTAGAGACAAGTTACTGTGTGAGGTAAGAGGCAGACACATCATGGTGGCAACACTTTATGATTGACTAATTTAATGATCTGCACAGTGGATACTTGGTAAATGGCAGGTGTTATCACCAGTGTATCAATATGGCAATTACTGCTCTTTTCTGGATCTTCCATACCAAGATTCTCAACTGATCTCAGCAGCCAGATGAGGGTAGACCAGTTATCCACACCTAACTCCAACTGACAGGAATCAGAGACTGGCTGATTGATATCTGAAGTCTCAAACTCTGCCTCTTGTTATGGCTAAACTGTCAGGCTAACATTTTCTTCTGGTGTTTCTATTCTCATATCTATTATTTGAGCATCAACAGCCTCACATTGCAAATAAACACATTGCAAGTGCCTATGTGCAAATTAAAATAAGTAACATATTAATTTATGTTATTAATAATACATCATTAATACTAAGGTACATTAGTATAGGGTTCATGTTTTATTCTTCCTGTCTCATAAGATAAACCAAGATACTTGTGTAATGAATTTATATGAAGAAAATATATAGTAATTCATTAAAGCAATCTTATTAACCTGTTGATAGCAAATATAACTTTAAATTGCAAATATAAACTTTTCCACTAACATCTGAAGTAGTGTCAAGCTATAGTAGTTTCATTAAATTTGCGTCAAATCAACATAGATTATTTTCTTTGGTCAAATGACCTCAGACTGGTGGCAGTATCTACTTGAGTAACATGTTCTATGCTGGAATACTGGAAAATTCATGGGATTAGTAATACAGACATGTCTACAAGCATAATAATTTCTCATGAAGCAGTTAAATATAAACTTGGCTTTGGTAGAGAATATTTTTTATGGTGAAATGATTTTCAGCAAAACACGTGGAAGCTATCACTTTATAGTGTCCTACAAGAGGCAGGAAAAGAACACCAGATGTTTTTGGTTCGCGCCCACCCCAAACATTAAAATGTTTTCCTTACCTCTGTCTACACAGTCTTGGTCCAGAGAGATTGAAAAGGAAACAGAAAGAAAGAGACAGAAAATGGCACATAAATTCTAGATGGCAAGCTGCACACTGCCTGCCTCTTGGTGGTCTAAATGCCCATCATATTATATAACAAGTACAGAAACGTTTCTTATTTTGGGCACAACTCTTCTTGGCTATTCTTCACGTTCTTAAACTTAGATTTTTTTTCTCATTTGGTCAATGATCAGTGTATGAATAACGTCTACTTCCTCAAAGAGTACAATTTCATGCTGAACATGTTTTCTAGAGAGACAAAATGAGGCAAACACAGAGGTATAGGCATGTCTACACACTTCATGATTCTATAATCATCTTGGTTGATGATAGGACAACGTCAGCTTATTTTCAAAGCAAAGACGATACGAGCTCGGGTCATGAAATCACCTCTGAATGTTCAAATGCCAAGGATGGGATGGAGGGGAATGGAGGTGGGGGGGGGACCAAGGGAATGAATCACATAGCACCATTTATGGGGAAGAGCATGGGCCCGATTACACAGGAACATGGAGATGGGGTTGAGCAAGGACTGCATCCATGCATTCATGTGACAGCTCAGCCCCTAAGAAACCCAGAGAACGGTGCATTTGGTAACTTTCAAAACCCTCAGCTCACAGATATTTCATGCACTAACTAAGAATTTGGTTTTTTGAATATCCTAACGACTGGGAGCTGTGTGATACTGTCCAACGTTTGAGAGTTGTGATAAAACCACGGTCAGAAACACTTTCGAAAATATAGAGTTGACTATATTGTCTCATCTTGTTAACCGTTAAAAGTTGGTTAACTAATTTATTTTCAAGCCATATTGGCCACACATTCATTCACCCACTCATTAGTCATTTATTCCAAAATATTTATAGACTCCCTGTGACGTTCCAATTATGTAACGATCAATTACTAACCTTAATAACTATATAAGGTAGTATAGGAGATAATCCCAGATAAGGCACCAGATTATGGAACACTGAGTTAGGAACCCGATAAATCTACAAGCAGTGCTTTAGATATTAGATATGTAGCTCCAATGGCATGTATGTGATTTCTGACCATTTGTTATTTCGTCAGTTTGATGATTTACCTTTTCTTCGTATCCATTTACAGATATCCCTTGCATAAAATTGGCACAGAGTCCACTGAAGGTTTTAATTTTTTTCTTTTTTGTTTGTTTAAATGACATCTACAAATCTTTCACTTGCTTCCTGGCACGGTACTTCCAGTTTGTTCATTCTACACTTAAAACATGTCAAAAGGCGTTTTCTTGTTCTAATGTACTAAAAGAATACCACACATGACTTTTATAAGATTTTAGGACTTTGTCATATAAAAGGAGCAGTCTTCTCTGCCCCGACCAAAGCCATTTGACAGAAGGTACTTCTTAAATTCTACGGAACGTAATGTAGTCTTTTGGGATGACTCAGACCCCACTTTCAGGGGTTAACAGGAGCTGGGTCACTTTTTCCAGTAATGGCAGGTAAGGTACGGAGGAGACATTAAACCTGATGAAAGGGACAGCAGACTTGGGTCACGCTGCAAGGGCTACTTAAATCCATCAATGTGTTACTATCGTTTCATTCTCTCTAAATTAAAGCGTGTAAGCATGATACTCTAGTTCACATAAATTCTTACCAAACCAGAATTCACTGTGTACACATACAAATACAAGCATGTAGTAGTTAACTATGCATCTGAATGCCATAAGATACAAAGTTAAGAAATGTACTTACATTAGCAGCACCAAGAAGGATCAGTGTTGGCCCCAGCCCGATGGTGTATATTGATCGGAGCATGATGGACACAAGAAACGGCCGGATTCCCACAGGCTTGGAGAAGAAGAACAGCACAGATGTGCAGATTACCACTGCCATCCACAGGAGGGCGGAGAACAGAGGGGAAAGCGTGCCTGGAAAAGGCACAGGGGTCACTTGTCACCGAGAGAAAACACCAAAGTTTTGGCTTCCGTGCTTTTACGTGCAAACAGAGTCATGGTGCACAAATCTCAGCACAGCCCAGTCAACTTTCTACCACAGGAAACGTCTTAGGATGCATTACTCTTCGCTACATTCCCAGAAGACTTGTGCATTGATTTCAGGAGAGTCCACCGCTATGGGATGTCTCTGATTGGCTCAATAATGAGCTGAATGACCAATGATAGCTAGGAGACCTAGCTAGATAGGAGACCTAGGATAGATAGGAGAAAACAGGTGCAATTTTCAGGGAGAGAGAGGAACTCTGGGAAGAGGAGAAATGGACACCAGTGTGATGCAGAACAAGTTGGATATACAGAATGGGGAGAGGTAAAGCCACATGGCCTTAGGAATACTAATAGAAATAGGCTGTTCTGAGTTATAAGAGCAGCTGGGGACAAGCCCAGGGCAAAGGCCACGCTTTCTTGACTAGTCAGTCTCGGTGTCCTTGAGGAGCTGGAGGCCCCAACAAGAAGGTCCAAGTGCAGGCAACATCCTTCACATCAAGTCCATGAACTCTACTTTCATACGGGCGTGATTTGTGAAACGCTTTTGTTAAGTACACTTCACTTGCAAACCTCAAGTCAAATTGATGATTAGTGGTTGTGGGAAATCAGGTATAGTACTTCATCAACTCATCATTTCCTTGTTGTATTAGCATCAAGTTTTGCCATTACGGAGTCCTCAAAAGAACCTAGTTCAGGCCAGCAAGATGACTCAGCAGGTGAAGGTACTTGCCACCAAGCCCAATGATTCGGATTTGGTCCTCAGAAACTACATTTCAGAGGAAGAGGACCAACTCCTACAGGGTGCCCTCTGACCCCCACACAGAGACATGCACATATACAGTAAACAGACAGATAGAGGAGTAACTAGTAAATGTAAAAAATAAAAGAACCCAATTTATAGAGCACTTACATTTTATAAAATAGAGATATGCTTTGGGTGTTAAAACCCACATACATATGACTACATGTGAGAAAGCTTTACATGTTAAAACACATGTACATTCATTTTTATGTGTTAAAACACATGAGTGTACATATGTGTCTATACACTTGAAGACTGACTCAATTTCCCAAAATATTTAATCATCAGGAAATATGGCGCCAGGCAGACAGCCAGGCCAGGGAAGTGCTTGCCTCATGAGCACAAGAATACGAATTTGATCTCCAAAGCCCCAGGGATTAAGCCAAATGTGTTGGATTCCAGTGCTGAGGCGGCAGAGACAGGCAGACCCCCAGGGCTTGCTGGCCAGCCAGCCTAGCTGAACAGGTGAGTTCCAGGCCACTGGAGGACCTTGTCTCAAAGTGCAAGGTGAATGATGTCATGAAAAATAACACCTGAGGCTGACCTCTGCTTTCCACACACATGCACATACATTCACCTATGTACACATATACCTATGCACAAAAACATATTGTGCATGCACACACATACACATATGCTATCATGCACATACACACACTTATACATGCAGTCATGCACATAAACACATGTAGTCATGCACACACATGCACACACACATATAGTCATGCACATACACACTCACCCAAAGCAGTCATGCACACACATACACATACATGCAGTCATGCACATAGACACATGTAGTCATGCACACACACATACACATAATGCAGTCATGCACATAGACACATTCAGTCATGCACACACACAAATACTCATACATGAAGTCATGCACATACACACATACAGTCATGAACGCACACATAAGCATAAGAACAATCTCCAATGGTTTTTAAATGAACTATGTTAAAAAAAAAAAAAAAAAACAAGTTTCCTTAGAAATTTCTCACAAAAGGAGGTTTTAAAATTTTCCCTTGAAAAGAAGTGCAATTCTATGGCACATGTACATGGCATAATCAAAGAATCTCCTCTCGAGGGTGGCGTGTGTGGCATCTGCAGAAGGGACTTTAGGCACTGAGCTGTTGGCTCCACCAAAGGGTACCAGGACCTGAAGAAGGAAACGACAAACTGCAGATTTCTCCCCAGCATCCTGTGTCAAAAACTCCATAAGATGCTTATTTTTTTCAGCCACGTCTTTCTACCCTAAAACTGATGTCTGACACAAAACACCTTGAGTGCTTTCACAGGAAAAGCTTTGGATTCGCATCACAATGTTGAGGTGACCCATATACATCCTTTAATAAATGTTGCATTCATCGATGGCCAATGCATCTAAAAATTATAAAGATGCTTGTAGTTTGTCAGACGTTCTTAACTACCCTCAAACAACCCACAAACGACACTAATTTGGATAGGCTTCAATCCCAGCTCTATAACATGTTATTTATTGTGGTTTAGGTGTGGTGTGACTGTTTTCCCGAAGGCTCCAGACTTCAACTGTGGTCTTTGTGAAATATTACTAAGGTGACAGAATCTTTTAAGATGTGATCCTGCAGCAGGGAAATTAGATTAGAGTTCTGTCTTTGGAAGGGATTGGCACTGTCAGGACAGGCACCAGACACTGGCTTGAGAGCATGTGGCAACGTGTAGCTCCCCTGCTCACATGGTCCATCCCCCACAGCCACATCCCTTTCTGCTTCTCCGGAAGATCATGATATAACAAAGGGGGTCCCCACCTGGACTGGACAGATGATGATACCCATGGGGGCTTCCAGTATCCAAAACAGGGACTAAATAAACATTTGTCTTATGAAATGCCCAGAGTCAGGCATTTTATTATAGCAACATTTTTGTTGCTACAATGGCTTCTAAACAAACAGTAGAATAAAGTTATGGAACTAGAGAGCTGGCTCAGTAGTTAAGGGCACCTGCTGATCTTCCAGAGCACCTGGGTTCAATTCCCAGGAATCCAATAGTGCCTCACAATTGTGTGCAACTCTAGTCCTAGGGAATCCAACACCCTCTTCTGGCCTCCACAGGCACCAACTATGCACATGGTCCATGGACATACATGCAGACAGAACTCCCACACATTAAATAAATACAATTTCAAATGAGTTTTAAAAGATTGGGAGGAAAGAGCTCACCCTCCTCATTGTCAAAATGGATAGCCTCACTTACGTTTACTTTGATAACTGGCTTACACGTGCTCTGCTCAGCAAAAGCACGTCCAGCCACCATCTGCCTTGATTTGACAGCTCTCCCAGAGCAGTACAGGGAGAGCACCTTTAATGTCCTACTGCATGTGTGTTGACTCTCCGGGAGTCCATGAAAACAAAAACTCTACCAGGGTGTAAGGCAGCCCTAGCCTGCCGCAGTGTGCCTTGCAGCAATAAATCAAGCAGACAAGATATGCTCAGGGAGCTCATACCGAGCAAGCTACTAAATATTTATTCGTTCCCAGGTGGCGCAGCTGTATCTGGCTTTCCATGTGGGCTCTGGAATCCACGGTCAGGTCCTCGATCCTGCTTGTGCGGTAATCACTCTGCTGACCCAGCCATTTCCTAAGCCCCTGGCTTTGTTCTTTTAACAGTATTTTATCCTATTTCATGTGTGTCCTGTGTATGTGCACACGCATGGCATGCATGCGTGTGTGTGTGTGTGTGTGTGTGTGTGTGTGTGTGTAGATGCCCACAGAGGCCAGAAGGGGACCCTAGATCCCTTGGAGCTGGAGTCATAGGCATTTGTGTACCACTCTATGTGGGTGCTAAGACCCAAACTCTGCTCAGACAAGACAGCAAATTGTGCTCTTAACTGCTAAGATGTTTCTCCAGCACCCGCCCCCAGCTTTTCTTTTAAGGATGCATTAAAACTGACAACATCTTCAGTGAACATATGACACTGTTCTTCTCATCATGTGACTCGTTAGGCTAACTCATAAATAAAGTCTGGTATGATATTCTGAGATTTGGCACAAATGCTCATTCTGCATATTATCACCAGTTGTAAGGAGTATGGTGATGCCATTATGTAAATATGTTTCTCATACTGGTTAATGAATAAAGTACTGTTGGCCAATAGGAAAGGAAGGTAGGAGGGACTAGGAGACAAGGAGGAAAGAGGAAGGAGTAAGTAAGGAGTCAGCATGGAGAGACCGGGGAGACGAGACGCTGACCCATTTCCCTGGTAAGGAGACCACGTGGAAATATTAGATTAACAGAAATGGGTTAATACTTAAGACAGAGCTAGCTGATAAGAAACAAGTAACTGGCCAACAGAATTATATCAAATACAGAGTCTCGGTGTGTTAATTGGGGCTGGCGAGATGGCGGGACAAGACCAGCAGCGGGAGGAAAACCGTACTCTTTACAACCAGTGCCAGGCGATTTAACCACACCTTTACTCTGCCCCAGACGTGAGTGGCCCGCTGGGCTCTCCCTTGACATACAAGAAGGTGCATCCATGCACCTAAAACTGTGTTTTATGCATTTTGCAAGTAACTTGTGGACTGTAAAGCATGGGACCTTACACACAGCTTACTATTGAGTACATCTGTGTGGAATGAGAACATAAGATGGACAGTTATTTAATGTGGTTAATTAAGGATGAATTCCGTGGCCATCTGTGAGAACCATCAGGCTAGTTCTGACCTGAGGATTTATGCTTTGGGAAAATATAAAATAAAACTCTCTGATACTCTGGAGACAGGTGCTAGGATATTTCAACGGCAATCTCAGTGGGGTGTGGTGACTCATGCCTGTATCCAATCACAGGGTGCTGAGGCAGGAAGACTTCTGAGTTCAAGGCTGGCCTGCACTACATAGTGAGTTCTAGGCCAACCTGGGCTACTCAGTGCGACCCTGTCTCTCAAACAAACAAATAACCAAAACCAAAACAACATACAGCACTGGTGCCGACCCTTACTCACCAAGTGGGAACTCTTCCCCCTTAACATTTTGCATATTGCTATTAATTTTCCTTAATAAGCCTGTATTATATTTACTGGGAAGATTTTTTAAGGAATTCCTCTATACTTTGCAAGATGTCAGAAGTTGGTCCTCTAATAGTTATGAGCTTTACATAAAGCAGTACTTCTACTGGTCAGTTCTCTGTCTCCTCCTCCACTTAATATCTCTACACTTGCAATAAATACAGAAAAAAAACATACTTAATGAGAACTAAGCTTCTTCATGTTAAAGCTGCAGAGAGCTAGTGCATGTAACTTGGGAACTTGCAGGCAGTCGTTATTTGCAGAAACACAAGCACTTGCCTTCATCACCATCGTCCCCAAATGGGTAGAAGAGAGCCACAGCCAGGTTGATGAACACAGCCAGGTTGAAGGAGATGCTCCCCCAGAGGGAGATGTGCCTGGAGAACCAGAACAGGGCGGGGTTGTCTAGAAAGCAACAAGAACAAGAATGAGAAAGGCCAGTATTCGCCCCCATCAGCGGGAACCCTCCTAAGACAACGGGGTGCACAAGTGTCCATGAACTGTCACAGAAGCACATCGCACGTGAGTGGGTCTAACTTCAGGACGCTCATTGCAACACTCTAGATGGTAAAGGCACTTTCTAGCTGGTTCCTTTTCTATCCTTCAAGAGCGTCGGCGAAGGTGACGGTGCAGTAAATCCTTTACATCTGGCCCGTGCAGATTAAGGGGAAGGCAGCTAGTGGCTCTGGGGACCCTTTACTAAAGGGAGTATGCACATATGTGCTGTAGGCCTTGGTGATACTGATGTGTAAACTGATCTTACCCTTATGACGTAAAGTCACAAAAGCCAGGACCGCGGACTCAGTCCAGCGGGGGCGCCCTCACTGGAAATGCTCATTACAGTCAGTCTTTAAAACCTGAGTCTCATTGCTACAGTACAGCATGCATGGGAGCTAGAGAAATGTAATACTCCAGCCAGTGCAGTTTCTCAGGCCTGAAATCTCGGCGTCTGAGAGGCTGCGGCAGAGGGATGGAGGCTATGAGTTTGAAAGGAAGTGGGAATTTCTAGAAAAGGGAATCAATGTCTGTCATCAGAAATGAATTAGTGAATGGATCTACTAGAGAGTGTTCACTAGAAACACAGTTCTTTCCACTTCTAAATAACTGACATAGCTCGGGGAGGGGCCCGTTGGCGGAGCTAAATTGTCAGCCTTCTCTGGGCACCTAGCTGCTCCTCTGGGTCTTATCTATTGTTCAACTTGTCACCAGGTAACAATTGCCTGTAAGCCCAGATCCATGGGATACGACGCCCTCTTCTGGCTCCTGCAGGCATTACACACATGTGCATATAAGCCCACAATAAGCATATAAAAAATTAAAAATTAGAATTAAAACCTTAAAGGTAAAATATCAGAGTCGGTGGGGTGAGGCATATAAAAGGGAATAAAATGGACTTTTTGGATCTGGCCCAAGCCCCAGTCTGGGCTGTTGACTCACAAACTGTCTCCTCCCGAGTCCAGCTCATTTTCCTCATCTTGGAGAGGACATTCCTCAGTGACAGAGGCTGTGATGACAACGATATCTCCCTGGGCAATGGATCAAGAACTGTAGAGGTCCACACCACCGTGACATCACGCCTTGGTGTCTACCAGCTCACAAAATCATTTAGATTCTGCCTAAGCCCTTGTTCTATAGCCTGCTTCTAAAATTTAAGAGACACTTTCCACTGGAAATTATTTTAAGGTTTATTTCTTTATTAAAAAATATCTGTCATAAAACAGAGTCCCAGTTTGTTAGTAAATTAACTTTGAATTAATTTGCGCTTGCTATTCAATTAATTTTACATGAAGAAAAATTAATGTTTTTCAAATACCTCAGATAAAATTTTTGAATATTTCATAAATATTAGATGCCCCAATCTTTTTTTTTCTGAGTTCTATGTGGCAAAATTCTAAAGAGCAACAGTGTTGTAGAAAACTAAACCTGTGTGACATCATCTTATACCCAAAGGAGCCTTTGACCGGTTCCAGTCATACCCCTAATCTCTCTCAGTAAAGAGCCTAGAAAACAGAGTGGTGGACTACGGGTAACACACCTGCCCCCCTGTCTAGGAAAGTCTCCAAAGGCAATGAAGATCTAACCTCAAGAGGTCTTCAATCCCCCTTCAACTTCTGATATTTTAAAAAAACAACTTAAAATGATTTTTCAAATTAAGGGTTTAATTTTCTGGGCATGACTGTTTTGCTCATACGAATGTCTTGTGGACCCGGAGGGCAGAAGAGGGTGTCAGACCCCCTGAAAGGAGTTATGGGTAATTATGAGCAGCCATACAGGTGCTGGGGATATAACCCAGGTCCTCTACAGGAAGAACACATGCTCTTCTAGGCCATCTCCCCAGCCTGAGTGTTGAGGGCAAGGAGTCGGTGCAGGATTTCACACCTGCACTGCAACAGTACAGCTGCAGCCTTGCATGCTCAGGAGCTGCAGGCCATCCCATTAACCTGGGATTTCTACGTCCACTGAGCGGCAGTCCACTCAGCTCCAGCGACAGCTGGGCTTACACTCCCTACCCTGCAAGTGATACCAGGAACATTAAGCTGATAAGAAGTTCAAGTCATGATTTCAATAAACCGGGCCAGCATGCCTCTGATTTCACACTCACTTCTGATCTTCTTCTGCCATTTCATCTCGTTGTAGAGGTCCTCTGTTTGCTGGAAGAAGTCGTTCACCTTGCTTCCCTGCTCATCCCTCTCCGTCGTGTTGAATACTCGGTACTTGGATTCCCGAGTTAGGAACTCGCAGATATTGGGGACCGGGAAGACGATCTGCTCCATAGTCCTGTCATGCCGCACAATCTGCAACAATTGGATTGGTTGTCACCCATTTGCACACCTCAGTCTTGGACTCCGCCCTCAACTTCCTTTTTCTTAATTATCACATCGTGCTGTTTGACAGTTTAGTACAAGCGTGTAATGCATTTTGGTTACCATCACCACTATCCCATTATTCCCCTTCCGCCCCTGATGCCGGCTTCTTCCTGTTGTCCTTACTTCCAGGTTTTGGGTTTTGGTTGGCCCCCACCTCTACCCCCTGGGTTTTAACCAGGACCATCTGTGTGACTTCCAGTTCCAAATTATCCGGAAGCAGCCAGTAGGCTCACTGGTGGATCTACAAATGGATGCTCTGCTTCCCCAGCTTTTGGTTTTAGGATAAGTTTCCTAGTTACCTCTACTTGTCAACTTGACACAACTCAGAGTCGCCTGTAAGGAGACTCTGTTGAGGAAGCCCCTCGATCTGATTGGTCTGTGGGCATCTTGATTATTGATTGATATGGGAGGGTCAGGCCCACCACGCCAGCGCCATCCCCAGGCATGTGGTCCTGGGATGCTGATCCTAAGCCCAGGTGAGCCAGCACACAACATTCCTACAGCATTCTTCTGAGGTGTCTAGCTAAGGTTCCCACCGTAACGTATCCCAGTGTTCTACTGTGACCTGTAGATGTAAACCAAATAAATCCTTTGCTCCCCAGGTTGGTTTTGGCAAGACTGTTTGTGCATGTGGCCAGACATGAAACTAGAAGAATGAGTTTATTAATGATAATTTTATGAATCCAAATATGGGAAAGATAAACCAGCTGGGTGACCTCGAACCTACTACTTAAGCATTTGTGCCCTGTTCTTCCTAAGAGGGGCTCTGGGAGACAGGTGATATGACACAGTTAGCACTGTGTGTCCTGAGTTCTCCATATACAGAGAGGTATTAAAGTGTTGTCCTACCTACGGTTTGGTGTTTGGAATGAGAAATGTCCCTCACGGGTTTATGCATTTGAACTCTTGGTCCCTAGTTGGTGGCACAGTTTGGGGAGGTCATGGAACCTTGAGGAGGTGCAGCCATGCTGGGGAAATGTGTCACTGGGGGTGGCTTCCAGGGTTTAAAATCTTGCTTTCTCTCCCCAACCCTCCTGCATAGGAATAAATTATGACCAGCCAGCATAATGCTCCTATCACAGTGCCAGGCCTTCCCGGACTGACGGACTCTCCCTCGGGAACCTTAACCCAAAATAAATAAATAAAAGATAAATCTCTAAGTTGGTTTTGATCCTGGAATTGGAGGTATGGATGGTTGTGAGCTGCCCCATGGGTGCTGGGACCTGAATACAGGCCTCTGCCACAGCAGCCAGTGCTCTTAACTACTGGACCATCTCTCCAGACCCTTTATGTGCTAACTTAAAAAAAAATTAGAATACCAACTGTACAAACTACTTAGATATATTTGGTATGGTAGGCAACCACATGAAAAGAATTTTAAGAGTGTCGAGTATATATTTTTTTTAATTCTTAGGGTTTACTAAAGAAAATAAGCTTTGATTAATAAGCCAAATTATCCAGTCCCTGCATAAAATGACATGTTTAATTCTGGCTGTCACATTTTACAAAGGGCGGTGACAAACCAGAGACACCGCTGAAGGAAATGCATTAACTGAAGAAAGCCAAATATGGTTAATTTTCCCCCAGATTATTTAATAAACACTTACTCAGTCGGTGCTAGAAATACTGTGGCACTGAATGGAAGGAGAAGAAGAGGGTCCCCAATGCAGAAGGAATGAATTTAGATCCACGAGGGTCTTCAAACGTTAGCGCCAAGGGCTGAGGAGACGGCTTGCTGGTTAAAAGCACTTGCCATGCAAATATAAGGACCAGAGCTCAGATCTCCACAAACCCACTAAGTGCTGGCTGGGTGTGGCAGCCGCCCTGTAATTCCAGCCATGGAAGAAAGAGCCAGGGCATCCTCAGAGCAAGCTGTTTAGCAAGCCGGGCCATATTAGCAGCCTCTGGGTTCTGCTGCCTCAGTGAATAAAGTTGATGAATGGCAGGGATGATTCTTGATATCAACCTTGGGCCTCCCCCTGTGCAAATGAACGTGACCACATACATATGCGAAAACATGCAAACACACAACACACACACATCCCTAAGCTACCATGGTGAGGGGAGCGAACACTAGAAATGGTGGATAATTACGACGAGCTAGTGTGAGCTCTCCACAGATGCAGCATGAAATCTTTCCAAAGAACTGATTAAAATTGGACCTGCTTTCTTTTGAAACAGTGAGACTCCTTGTAGGAGCTGGCAGTGATGTAGGGATCAAGGGGGATTCTTTCTCAGATGGTGATAAGGCCTAAGCTCCTTCCCACTCTGTAGAGCTATTACACTGACCACGCCTAGCCACTGTTCTCATTAACACACGGGTCAGTGTGACAGGCAGATGTGACACAAGCTGTGACTCTGCTGTTGCTCACACATAACACGTCAGCCTTTACCGTGAAATGGTACTGCTTAGCGATGCTCAAAGACTTGGCAAAGATAAACAAAACCGCATAGAAATGGCCCACCCCGGAGCAACGGTGCTTGTGATGCTCCCTGCTAAAACTTAACACCCATCTGCCAGGAGGAGTGAGTGTGCTGTCCTGAATCGGGAGCCACAAGTGTTCGCCACTCCAACCGCTTCTGCCCGGTGAGTTCTGCCCAGAAGCATCAAAACGGTACCCCAGCTAAAAGTGACAGCCAGAGGGGTCCCCACACCCCTCCTGATCTGCCACCAGACATTACTCTGGTCTGGAACTCACAGAGATCCGCCTGCCTCTGTCTCCTAAGTGCTGGGAATAAAGACATACGCCGCCGTGGCTGGCTTCAAATACTCTGCTAAGTCATGAGCTCGATATAAGAAGTTCACACAGTTTTTAAGGGACAGATTCTCTAGTAATTACGTTGTCTCTAAAATATCACTGATCTGATCTGATCTGCCCTGACTGCTTCTGTGACCCAAATAAGAGAAAAATTTAGTTTCCATTTTGAAAACTTCAGTCATGGGGGGGGGGGGGATGTCCTTCTGTATGTTGTTAATATGTTTCTCTTATTGGTTGATGAATAAAACACTATTGGCCAGTAGCCAGGCAGGAATTTCAGGCGGGGCTACCAAACAATGAGAATTCTGGAGAGAAGCCCCCAGAGAGACACCATGTAGCTACCGGGAAGATAGGATGTTGGGCATTCTCCAGTAAGCCAAGACCACATGGAAATACTTAGATTAATAGAAATGGGTTAATAATTAAGACAGAGCAAATCAATAAGAAGCCTGAGCCATTAGTGAAATGGTTTATAGTTAATATAAGCTCCTCTGTGTTTATCTGGGGATAAACGGCTGTGGGACCAGGCAGAACAGAAAACTTCAGACTAGTTCTGGGGAGAGAAAAGACTTTGCAAGGAACTCAGATTCCACACGTGACCCTTGACCACCAGCTTATGGGACAGAATTTTCCACCAAAATCATCAAGTATTATTTCACAGTGCTGAAAAAAAATCATGGTCTTAGCTAGAAAGCAAACACATTCTTTCTAACAGTCTTAGCTGGAACGCAAACACATTCTTCCTAAAAGTCGCAAGCACATACCTCAATCTGTGCAGTGTGGTTGGCGTAATACTTCAAGGCTTCATCCCCATCGTCAGGGTCAGAGCCAGGCTTGAGCATCTGATGCAACAGTTTATTGTGGCGGGCCAACTGCAGGGAAGAGAATTAAAGGGTTAACACGTCTCTCCTTTTCCTTGGGATAAGACTTTGAAGTTCCCCTGTCCATTCCTGCCTGTGTCTTTCACAGTCCTGGGTTGACAGTAATTAGTCACGTTCTAGGAAGGCGTTTCTACTTCTGAGAAGCCTAAGGATCAGTCGTTCAGTTGGGCAGTGGTGATGCACACCTTTAATCCCAGCACTTGGGAGGCGGAGGCTCTGCCTCTGAGAGTTCAAGGCCAGCCTGGTTTACAGGAATACAGAGAGGACAGAGAAACCCTTGAGAAAAACCGAACCAGTCACTGAGAGTGGTTGGATAATTTTATCTCCAATAATTGTAAGGTTGTGTCACAGGGAAGAAATGTCGCAGTGGCATCCAGGAAGATTTAATTCTGTGACACACGTCTTTAAACTACACGTGCACGTAGGTTACTGTCACCAGCAGGGCAGTGGGCAGCAGAAACCACACGAAGGCTGTCCTGCTGTAGGCACATAAGCGGGGCTCTGTACCCAGAGGGCTCTCTCTCACCTGTGGAATCCCAGCCCTACAATAGCAGCTCTCACCAACCTATTCTTCTGCACATGACCGGCTCAAAAACTGGCTCTACGGTCATAGACTTCAGTTTCACTGCATTTGAAACTGGGCATTTAAAAACCAACGATCTCATGATAAAGACTTCCTTTTCATGTATGTATGTATGTGTGCATGTGTGTGGGGGTCAAAGGGCGACATCAGGCGGACCTCTATCATTGTCCATCTCATTTGTGAAGACAGGGCCTCTCAGCAAGTGTAGAGCTCACCATTTTGGCCGGGCTGGCTGGCCCGAAACCCCCGGGGAATCTGCTGTATCCACCGTATCCAAGTGAGCACTAGGATTTCGGCAGCAACATGCTATGGTGTTTGTAAATTGCAGTGTATCGCGAGTGCTGGGTGTCTGAGCTCAGGTCCTCATGCACCCCAGCGGAACACCTCCCCACCCTTCCGGAAGTCATCCTAAACTGCTTCCTGTCAGTCAGTGGAAGTAATCTTCCTCATTTGAACACTGAAGCCATTTGTTGGGCATTCCTCTCACTTTGTGGATAATTATACACATCCCCTTTAAATATCTTTTCCATAGATGACTTGAGCAGTTCCTGAAACCTTGCAATCTCCTTAACCTCTCAAGTGCAAATGTTCTATTTGTGCCCCAAGTTCTCCGGGGACTTCTAGGGGGCATCACTGTGCCACACAAGCCCACTACTCCAGGAGGAGTCTGCCTCCCACCTCCAGGCTTTTAAGTACAAGGTCTCATTAGATCCTGCTCAGAAATCTGGAATAGACACTTGCATCACTTCCATTTTACAGATGAGGAAACTGAGGCACAGGGAGCTTGCCTACAATCACATAGCCAAAACAGGTTAAAGGCAGTAAGTATTGACCTTAGACAGTTCAGTTCCAGGGTCAGTATGTTGTTGTTGATACAAGGCTGCAAACATATCACCCTGTATTCCATGAAGTCTTAATATAAATGGGACCATAAAGAATCAACACAAATTCAAGCAACAATCCAGACCTATAAAACCAAGTCAACACCCTGGGAGGTGGCAGTTCGATCCATTAAATATTCATCCCACCGACTCCAGAACACATCATTTTTGAAATTATTATTTTAGAGTTGCCTTTCAGGCTCATGATGTCTTGTTTTACTTACATTTTATGTTCAACTAAAATGTGAGTTATATAGCTTTTTATGACCATCCAGCGTCATGGAACCTGCTGTGACTTGTGGGTGTTCCTCAAGGTCTAAGTGGATTTAGAAAGGAAGTCCTGTGATCACTTGGGCAGAGCAACAACTGGCAGGAAGTGGGCAGTTCTGGCGTTGAAACCAGCGGGGCCCCACGAACTGGAATCGGGAGTGCCTGGAGAAGGGAGGGCACGCTATGGCTTCAAACTTGAGTCCTCCCACGGCTGAGCTGAAGGCCATGGGGAGCAGGTGAGGGGACCTCACGGGGGTATCTAGGGTCACTGGGGAGGGGCCCTTGAAGAGTATATGGAAGTCCTGGCCTCGCCTTTTTTCCTCTCTCCTGCTCCTTAGATGACAAGGTGGACGGCTTTCCGCCACCACGCTCTCCCCCCCCCCACGCCTCGACCACAAAACTCGGAAACCACGCATCAAAATCAGCCCTCCCTCCCCGTAAGCTGTTCGCCCTGATCAGCTCTTTTGTCACAGTATTGAAAATCTGCTTAGTGTGAAGTCCAGAACGACTGATGGACGGTTAGGGATGCCGAGTACTACAGAGCAATACAGAAATACATCAGGGAAGAGCAAAGCTGGGAAACATGAAAAATAAACGGCCCAGAGATTGATGTTTGTGTTCAAACTTCAAGCTGAGGATCAGAGAAGCAAAGCAGTCGGCCACTAGCTCTCACCTCTAGCTCAGGCTGAAAGGGCTGGTCCTGTCTCCACGAGCTCTCACCGAGCCTGAGACTGCTGCCTCTCCTCAGCGTGGCTGGAGAATGAATGCCTCATACTCAATACTGAAGACCCTAGTGTGGGATTACAGGCGTGTGACCCGTTACTCTTTCAGAATGATTCAATCTCGTGGATCCCTGGGTGGCCTTGAACTCATCTCAGAGATCCTCTACCTCTTAATCCTGAGTCCCAGGGTTACAGGTGTGTGCCACCACCTCCTAGCTTCCGGCTTCGGGGATTAAAGGTGAGTGCCTGGCTTCTACAGTTCAGCTATTATTAACTGGTAAAACTGACAGGGAGTTGGCTTTCCCCAGATTGAAGAGCCCGAAGTCACATGACTGTCTTTGTGTTTAGGTCAATAAGTGAATGATGTGTTTGCACCAAGCAGCATTCCCATCTGAAACAGCGGAGAGAGCAGGCTCCAGGGAAGAGCAGGCTCTTCTCTGTAAAATACAAATCCTTGTCCACAGAGCCCAGGCCCGGGGGTAGGCTCCCAGCATACTCTGAGGTTGAACAGGGTTCAGGGACAGCCATGGGGAAGAATTCTTCCCTCAAGAAGAAAAGGGCAGAGTTGCCGAAAGGGAGAGGCGAGAACATCGGAGATGAGTGAGGGGAAGGAGAGGCAGGCTTCTAGAAGCAGGTGAAGCCTCGCAACTCACCAACCACTCAGTGGCTGTTAGGAAAACATACTTCTTACAAAGTTTCTCTTTCTTTCCCAATCATCCTTGCTGTCTAGGCCAAAACTGGCACCCACATTGTCTAGAACATATTTGGACAAGAAAGTTAGAGAATCAGTATTTTCTTTTACACACAAAATAAGCTCTTGAGAACCCGAAGAAAGCAGAGTTAAAGGAAAGGTTGGCAACAGCAAAACAAGCAGATGAGGGTGACATTTCTGAGAAACAGAGTTTGACAAACTAGGACTGGGCACCCAGAAAGACACACAGACCTCCAGGCCATAAGACAAGAGCCCCAAAGTAAAGTATGATGTCTCAGGGTGATGTCTCACCACACGTGTGCGTGCATGAGCGCGCACACACACACACACACCACTCCTTACAGTGAAATAAGAAATCAGTCCATTTGAGACAGGATAGGCAAGGAGCCAATGCCAAGGTAACCAAGGAAATGGCAGCCGCATCCTGTGACCCTCTCCAGAAGGTCAGAAATCCCCTGTGGTCAAACATCCTTGAAGCTGCAGGCTCTTCCTATAACAGAAACGGATTCACCCCGGGGCCCTTTCCCAAGCACCAAACATGTACACTAAGAAAAGTTTTGCATTATCAAAGAGCCAGACTTCACAGCAGAGTTACCTGCGTGGTGGCTTTAGGTCCTCTGGTCCTCTCAAGAGGGTTAAGTGAAGAAATACACTAAAAGGAAGATGGGGGGGGTCCATGGAACGGGAGCGCGTGCACGCCGCCCTCCTGCTCAGCCCTTCCCAACCCTCCCACCCCTTTGTGGAGTGTATTGTCCTTTGCTGTAACTGTGCTAAGTAAACTTCTGCTTAAATTGCCTGTGTCTCTCGGTGATTCATTCATTCTCTCAAGAATCAAGGAGACATTTACCTTAGCCATTAACCATAGGGGCATAGGGGAGGGGTCCAGAATACTTCCTCCACTATTAGCAAATTACTCTTTACTGTCTCTCTCCCTCACTCAGACAGGACCTAGGTTAGGCTGGCCTGGGACTTACTGGGTAATGAGGGCTTGCCTGGAGCTCACCATGCAACCAGGCTGGCCTGGAACTCGAAGCAATCCTCCTGTTTCTGGCTCCAAGAATGTTGGGGGCCACCAGGACTGGCTACTCCATAGTCTTTTTACAAGGGTTTGAAAAAAAACCATTTGTTTTATATACAGAATATTTAAATAAATCCACCATGACTCTTAGAGATCTGTTATTTACATAACAGTGGTGATCAAATTAAGACCAAGGTCATGTGCAAAAGTGTTGAGGAATTGAGCAGAGTTAATTACTACAGGTGAAAGCCCTTGGTTGTCAGCTGGTTTACATTCCTACTATTAGAGTCTACCTTAAGTCACAGTAAATTTTAGAAAACCTCTTTAATGATAACAGGAAATAGCTTAGTAAGCAAAACAAATACGGACACTCACATACATGCACCTACACATGACCTATCCACATATGCAAGATACACACACACACACACACACACACACACACACACTTCCCCATATACAAAACACACACATTATCACATGTGATGGGGGAATGCCCTTCTGTGTGCTGTGAATATATGTGTCTCTTATTAGTTGATGAATAAAGTTGTGTTGGCCAATAGACAGGCAGGATGCAGGCAGGCAGGATGTATAGGCCGGGCTACCAGACTAGGAGAAGGCTCAAAAGAGGAAGGCAGACAGTGAGTTGTCCGAGACAGATGCCATGGGAGGAGACCTACTGGGAAGGTGGGACACCTGGGCGTTCTCTGGTAAGATAAGGTCATATGGAGATGCACAGATTAATAGTTATGGGATAATAATTAAGAGAGAGCTAGTCAGAAAGAAGCCTGAGTCATCGGCCAAA